CTTTCTTACACCATACAGAAAAATAAACTCTAAATGGATTAAGGACTTAAATGTGAAAACTGAAACCATAAAAATTCTAAACTAAGAGAGCATAAAAAGTCTACACTAAGAAAACGTGAGAACCGAAACCATAAAAAGTCTACACTAAGAAAACATAGACTTAAATGTGAGAACTGAAACCATAAAAAGTCTACATTATGAAAGTCTACACCAAGAAAGACATTGGCCATGGCAACATTTTTCTAGATATGTCTCCCGAGGCAAGGGAAACAAAAGCAAAAATAAACTATTAAGACATCAAAATAAAAAGCTTTTGCACAGCAAAGGAAACAATCCACAAAACTAAAAGATAACCTTCTGAATGGGAGAAGGTATTTGCAAGTGGCATATCCAATAAAAGGTTAGTATCCAAAATATATAAAGTATAAAGAACTGATACAACTCAACCCACAAAACAAATATTCAATTAAAAAATGGGTAGAAGACATGAACAGACATTTCTCCAACGAAGACATATAGATGGCCAACAGACACATGAAAAGATGCTCAATATCACTCATCATCAGGGAAATGCAAGTCAAAACCACAGTGAGCTATCCCGTATCAACAATATGAGAAACAACAGGTATTGGCAAGGATGTGGAGAAAGGGGAACCCTTGTGCACTGCTGGTGGGAATGCAAACCAGTGCAGCCACTGTGGAAAACAGTATGGAGACTCAAAAATGAAAACCAGAATTACCATATGCTCCAGTAATTCCACTACTGGGTATTTACCCAAAGAATATGAAAACACTAATTCAAAAAGATCTATACAGCACCCCTATGTTTATTGAAGCATTATTTTTAATTGGCAAGATATGGAAGCAGCCCAAACATCCATCAATAGATGAATGGATAAAGAAGATATGGGGTGTGTGTGTGTGTGTGTGTGTGTGTGTGTGTGTGTGGCAAATCTTGCCATTTGCAACAACATGGATGGAGATGGAGAGTATAAGTGAAATAAGTCAGAGAAAGACAAATACTATATGATTTCACTAATATGTTCAACCTAAGAAACAAATGAACAAAGAAAAGAGATTAAAAAAAAGATTCTTAAATATAAAGAACTGATGGTTATAGAATGTAGGGGGGGATGGGCGATATAAGTAAAGGGGATTAAGATTACACTTATGAGGAGCACTTAGTAATGTATAGAATTGTTGAATTACTATTGTACACATGATACTAATATAACACTGTAGGTTAATTATACTGGACTTAAATACAATTTTTAAAAAGACAACTATGATTAATGTTAAGAGCTCTAATGGGAAAAGTAACCAATATGTAAGAACAGATGGGCAATATAAGCAAAGATCTGGAAGCATTTAAGAAAGAATCTAAATGAAATGCTAAAAACCAAAAACACTAACAAAAATGAAAAATGCCTTTGATGGACTCATCAGTAGTGGACTGGAAGTGGTCAAGGAAAGAATCAGTGAGCTTGAAGATAGGTAAGACCAACTCCCCAAACTGAAATGCTAAGAGGAACACAGAAGGGGAAAACAAAGAATATCAAAGGTCAGTGGGACAATTTTAAAAGATCTAAAGTACACATAATTGGAATACCAGGAGGAGAGGAAAAAGAACAGGGGCACAGAAAACATAAATATTTGTATTGTTAATGTGTTGTCAAAATATAAACTATACTTTGCTCATGTATCTGCATGCTTGGCAGTTAAAAGGTAAAATTTGGCAACTTTCATTCCATCTATAAACTTTTACCAAAGAAAATGAAAAGATCTTACCTTCTAAGATATCTTGCACACCTTATACTAAAAAATAGTGTGATTTTCTATCCTGTGATATTGAGTCTTTCATAATGAAAGTTTTGGGTCACTTTTTAATTTCCTCAAAACTTGCAGAAACACTTAACAAGATTTTTTAACTTTATAGAATGCAAGAAGATAGCCTCCTTGTACCTGTGCCTACAAGATGTCTATCATGGTTGTCAAATATCAAAACGTTGGTCTGCCAATAAACCACATTTTTGACATGTGGGAGAAGAATGTCCTCCAATTTGGAAGTAGTTTGAATGTGAGAATATAGGAAAGCACTACAGTAAATAATTTACATTGTTTTCTCTCAAACTGTTTGATGATCTTTATAGAAGTACCAAGGACTACAGAAAAGGATTCACTACACCTGAGCTATTTGGTATTGTGTGTAGATTGTGACAAAAACTCAAACAGTGGGGGGGGGGGGAATGACATTTGGGGGGAAAGAAGACTGACTCAAAACTCAAAGGTGTCACCAGAAGGGGCAGCCAAATGAAACCACCATGAAAACTAATTTATTTGAAATCCACCTTCAGTTTAAGTTCAGATTACCCCTGTGCTTTAAAAACATTTTCCCTGCGGGTGCCTGGGTGGCTCACACAGTTAGACATTCAAGTCTTGATTTTGGCTCAGGTCATGATCTCATGGTTCATGGAATCAAGCCCCAAGTCAGACTCTGCACTGAGAGCACGGAGCCTGCTTGGGATTCTCTCTCTCCACCTCTCTCTGCCCCTCCCCTAGTTTCTGCCCCCCAAAATAAATATTAAATTCAACACCCAAAAAACTAATAATCCAGTGAAGAAATGGGCAAAAGACATGAACACTTTTCCAAAGAAGACATCCAGATGGCTAACAGACACATGAAAAGATGCTCAACATCACTCATCATCAGGGAAATACAAATCAAAACCACAATGAGATACCACCTCACACCTATCAGAATGGCTAAAATTAGTAACTCAGGAATCAACAGATGTTGGTGAGGATGCAGAGAAAGGGGAACACTTTTGCCCTGCTGGTTGGAATGCAAACTGGTGCAGCCACTCTGGAAAACAGTATGGAGGTTCCTCAAAAAATTAAAAATAGAACTACCCTACGACCCAGCAATTGCACTACCAGGTATACAAGGAAACAAAATTTCTGATTCAAAGGGGCACATGCACCCCAATGTTTGTAGCAGCACTATCAACAATAGTTAAATTATGAAGAGTCCAAATGTCCATCAACTGATGAATGGATAAAGAAGATGTGGAATATACATACAATGGAATATTACTCAGCGATCAAAAAGAATGAAATCTTGCCATTTGCAACAACATGGATGGAACTAGAGGGTATTATGCTAAGCAAAGTAAGTCAGAGAAAGATAAGTATATGATTTTACTCGTGGAAATGTAATAAAACAGATGAACATAGGGGAAGGGAAGGAAAAATAAGATAAAAACAGAGAGGGAGGCAAACCATAAGAGACTCAAATACAGAGAATAAAGTGAGGGTTGCTGATGGGGAGGGGAGTGGAGGGATAGACTAAATGGGTGATGGGCATTTGAGGGCACTTGTTGGGATGAGCACTGGGTGTTATATGGAAGTGATGAATGCTAAATTCTACTCCTAAAATCATTATTACACTATATGTTAACTAACTTGAATTTAACTAAAATTTTTAAAAATGCTTAAGTAAAATTAAAAACAAAAAAACAGTACACATTCTCCCCAAGTTTAACTTATGGTGACATCCAGTGTGCTTCAGTGTCTAACAACCATGAACAATCCAGACATGCAGAACCTACGTGATGAATTTAAAGATGCAAACGGCCTGAATGCCAAAAAGCTAGTCTACTAGATAATAAGTGGATGGACATTTTTGAAGGGCTGGAAACTAATTCCTTACAAGTTGAAAAACCTGCTGTTGCTAGTAAGTAAAATCGTATTCCATGTTCAAACTCCTCTGTTGACGGGATTATCTAATTTGATGTCATTGCACTGGACTGCCACCAGGGACCAGTGTAAAGTGGGCTTGATAACAGACCTGCAAGTGAGAGAGAACTTGACTTTGAATGTGTTCAGTGTTACCACTACACAGAAGAAAAGAGGGATGTCCTAAAGGCTGCAGGGAGTTCAGAGAGTATTATCAGAAAAGGAAATACAAAATGCAAAAATACTCTGTTTTATCATGGGACATAACCATATCATTGTTAATTTTTATCAAATATAGGAAATATCTATTAGCCTCATTATATTTACCTTCAACTTTTAAAAGTCAATATTTATGTGTCTTAAGAATACACAATAAAATGGCTTATAACATTTAAATATCCAACAAGGGGTTAAAATCTGTATCAGAAACAAAGATATTAATATATTATTATCACACATACTATTTGCTTAATTTCTTCCATAAATTACTAATTGCCACTGTTAACTGCTCCAATTGTTTTTCCTTAATAGTGTTTATATATCAGAAAAGGAAATATAGAATGTTATATTAATTTTAAATACCTATTTTATATTTTACTGTTAAAATCATAATATATGTGATGTATAGCTACCTATTACATACTATACTTTTTTTTTTTGCGGGGGGCGGGGGGTCTGGGATGGCTGTGTCCTAGGTTGGCTGTCTACTATACATGTAGACAAACATCCTTCATAGATGTTTATATAAATGTAAATATATATATTCAATTCTGAATTGTTTGACAATTATTGGATAGGTATTTCTACTGTCTACTATTCTCTTGAAAGAGTTTAAAGGCTTCTAGGGGAAATACATACAGGTATACTTCATGTCTGGATGAAACAATGGCAGATTAATTGAAAATAAGCTCAGTTAAGCTAGCCATTAAATGTATGAGTGAGGTAATTGTCAAGAAGTAAAAACAAGTTTTGTTAATCTCTAAAAAAATCTCCATTTATGGGGCCCCTGGGTGGCTCGGTGGGTTAAGCATCTGACTTCGGCTCAGGTCATGATCTCGCAGTCCGTGAATTCAAGTCCCGCATCGGGCTCTGTGCTGACAACTCAGAGCCTGGAGCCTGCTTCAGATTCTATGTCTCCCTCTCTCTCTGCTCGTCCCCCACTCATGCTCTGTCTCTCTCTGTCTCTCAAAGATGAATAAATGTTTAAAAAAAATTTTTTTTTTAAATCTCCATTTAGAAATTTTATGGTATACTCTCTTTTTTAGTGAAAAGACCCGCACGAGCTCCTTCTTGGCTTCTAAAAAGATATGTAAGGTAGGAGAACTATACTTGATTTCTTCTACCTGACTACATTACTCCTTTCCCTCTGGCTTCTGTGATTTTGATTTTGAGTTAAAGCAACAGGTAAAAGTAACTTTTTTATAACAATTGCTAGTTGAAGTCTCCTTATATTCTCCATAGTATCTGTGACTAGGCCAGTGTTGTACGTAGCAGTGTTTACATGATGCATTTTGAAGCGTTGTGAGATTTCAGTATTCCCAAACTGTCCCCATTGGATGCCTTAAAATCTACAACTAGACATTTATTTGTCTGCATTTATCATTGCATTATCTGAGTTTCTCTTTTTGAAAAGAAACATTTCTGGCATAAGGTAATTATTTAACAGTTTACAATGGATGACTATCAAATGTGTTACTATCTGTAATAGCAGTTGGAGCACTGGCCACCTATTTTTTGAAACTCATACCTAAAACACATATAATACTAGCACCAAAAAACTGGAAAAAGAATAGAAAGTGAATTCAGGGATAACAGATAAACTGTGTAGTTTCATCTAAGCCAGGAATAATTATATCACCAGTCCCCTTGGCAAGTTAGAAACAGTGACATGAACAACCATCTAAGCAGTGGAAGAGTATCTGAGGATAGACTGAATATATCCAACAGAGGAAACATGGTCTGCACTTTCTTCCTTCCTCAACTCTTCTAAGAACTTGGTTTCTACTTAGCATAATGGGTTCTGTAGAAATATGTAGACTCTCCTGCCCCAAAAACTTATAAAATTAGGTAAGATACCATCTTTAGGCATACCTGTACTTGGATCTAGAATTGATCAAACTAAAACAATTTTTAAAAATATATTAGTTATCATATCTATGGAAAGCAATCAAATGATATATCAAAATAGGAGAAAGTAAAGTGTTCGAGTTACAAGATGTGAATTCTAGACCTGCCCCTCCCTCTTATTAGCTGCATGATCTTAAGAAAATAGTTTAACCATTCTGATTCCCTAATATTCCCTCTCTGATGTAAGATAGGGATAACATTGGCCATCCTGCCTATATCATAGGACTGGTAAGATCTCCAAGTAAGGTAATAGCTGTAAGAATCCTTTACATACTCTGAGGTGTAATATACATTACATTACTCTTGATTAGATAGCTCGTGGTTGACATTGAAATCTGAGTACCCAATTTCTTTCAGCTCCCAAAATAAGATTCACAGGCTCCGCAAAGACCAACAAAGACAATTGGTAGAAACTGGTGAGAAGTCAATCCAGGAAATAATTCAGCCCAAGAGCACTGATTTGTATGGAAACTGTTTCAAAGTGACATCCTTCAAGTGTCCTATGAGCACACAAATTCCCAGTTGGACTGAGAAGACAAGGATCCCAAGAGGAGGTGTTTTGGGTTTTTTCTTATTGTTTCAGATTTTAATAAATACAAAGGTTGTTTTCACTGTATCATTAATAAATCCTATGAAGTTTGGATTATGAGAACTGCTTTTATAAACAGGATTAATAGCCATTTTATTCCTGATTCTGAAAAATATTTGCTTAATTTCTATGAGTCTATTACAGAAAAAAATTATTTCAGTTTAATATAGCTTTGAAAAAAAACCTAATTGCCTTATTCCCAATACCCCCTTGTTATTGGTGTCCTTTCCATACTATAGAATAAAAAAGTAATGAACTGATACACATGACATGAATGAATCTCAGAATCATTGTGTTAAGTACAAGAAGACAGATACAGAAAAGTAAATGCTATATGAAATCTCATGTATATGAAATGCAAAGTAACTCACAGAGACAAAAAAAAAAACAAAACAAAACAGATAAGGGTTTCCTGGAGGAAGAAGGGACAGAGAAGGAGATGAAGGCAAGAATGGACTGGAAAGGAACACAAGGAATCTTTTAGGGTTATTTTCTAGGTCTTGATTGTGGTGATGGGTTTCACAGTTGTTTACAACTGTTGAACTACCAGGGTTTTAGTTTCCAGGGCAACAAGCTGGGTAGAGTTATCCTCTGCTGAGACGGCAAAGACTGAGGGCAGAGCAGCAATTCAGTTTAGACTTGGTTTTGAAATGCCTTTCAGGGGCGCCTGGGTGGCGCAGTCGGTTAAGCGTCCGACTTCAACCAGGTCACAATATCACGGTCCGTGAGTTCGAGCCCCGCGTCGGGCTCTGGGCTGATGGCTCAGAGCCTGGAGCCTGTTTCCGATTCTGTGTCTGCCTCTCTCTCTGCCCCTCGCCCGTTCATGCTCTGTCTCTCTCTGTCCCAAAAATAAATAAACGTTGAAAAAA